CCTTTATTTTCCTCTTTTATTTTAATCAACAAACTAACATTTCGGCCCTAGTTGTGGGAAGTCCCTGATGTTATTCCAGGGCAATTATTTATGGATCTTTATGTAGGAATGCACCCCCATTTCTGCGACAATCGTCTGACCAGGGCGCATCTCATAATTTATTTAACCGGTGCTCTTCCATCGACTCGCAGTCGAGTTCCACGCTTGGAAGTAGTGAGGGTCACCGGGAATCCCTCTTTCTCATTTTGAGCAAAGTGAGTGGTACGCCTTCGCAGTCTTATCTGCCACGCGGCCAGAAAGGGAGATTTTGGAGACAACAATATCAATATGAAGCTCTCCATCAAGTTTTAAGTTATTTAATCACGCAAATCATTAATCTTATTTGACACAAAATCAAAATTTTGATCAAATCTTGTAGATGTCGGTATACTAGCAATTTTCTATAAATATAATAATATATAACTATGATATGATCACAATATCTCTTTGCAGGCTGATATTTGGGCATTAATTTTAAAATCTTCCGTATTGATATGGGTTTCTCCAAAGAAACAGAACTCTTCCACTTATAACAACCTTCTATTTACAGCATTTTTTTAATTTTTGGGTACGTTATTTAGAGGATGTATGCATGCACATTACACCATAAAATTGGTGCTAAATAAAGAAAGAATTAGGTGAATAAGATTTCCTTGCTGCTAAAGTCAAAAAGACGTAAATACCGTACCATTTCTTTCCTAAAAGGTTAAATGCATTCTTAAGTCCCTCAACTTCTAGGTGACTTCTTAAACCGCTCAGTTAGCTATGAAAGTGGTAGATAAACCCTTTAACATTTCATTGCAACTAATAGACCCCTTTTTTAACAACAACCGTCAAGGTTTGTTAGCCCATTCATGTGACATGTCGAGTTAGTGTTATTTTTAATATATAAATGTATTAGAAAAATAAAAATTATGATTTTCTAATATTTTAAATGTCACGATATAAAATTTAAAGTTATTTTATGAGTATTTTGAGAGTATTCTAAGAATATTCTCCTCCTAATCTAATCAAAGGTAAGTCTTCCACGTATGTTAAGACTAAAGAATTAAAAAGAAATTACTTCTTCAAAAAATCAAACTTCAATCAATAAAATGAGAAACAAATTCCTTTGTTAACTAAACCACAATTCCCTCAATATTCATGAAACCATGATGGTTGTTGTAAAATATATAACTCATTGGTGGTCAACTATTTCTAAGAGTTGAGGGAATTATCACTTGCTTTTGTTGTTCAAAAACTTAAAAATTAATTTTGAAAAATTTGAGGGGCTTAAGAATGCATTTAGCCTTAAAAATAATATATTAAAGCTTCATTAGTATCTATGCTAAAAAACAACAAGAATACTAAACCAAACCTAATAAATTAACATAAATAACTTGAAAAGTGATGAGTCAATGGCAAAAACAAACAAAAAACAAAAAAACAAAAAAAAAACTAGAGAAACCAATACATCAAAGGGGTTAAATGCACATTGTTAAAAGTTTAAGGGCCAAGTGAACTTGCCCTCTATCACCAGGGAACAAGTTCAATTTGACATAGGTTGTAAGGCACCTTCCACAATTGGCAATCGCAAACATAACGCAATTTGACAACCCATTAAATGAAATTTTTAAATAAAAAAATAATTAATTAAATTTAAACAATTTAAATTAAAAAAACGTGTAACTAATACTATCAATTTGATAACCTTATTTTATACCTCAAATTCATGATTCAATTCTTCCTAACCTTATTTAGAAATAGAATTTTTTTTTTAATATCAATCATGTACTTAAAAATATCAATTTAGGATGCAAATAAGGACAAATTATCCTTAATGAAATATTCATTAGTAATGTTATTTTAGTATTTTCACATCTGAACCGATGTTTACAAGTACTGAACGAACTAAACCAGCCAGCCGCCAAAGGGATATATTCTATGTCTCATCAGCAGAAGACTCCAAACCACTGTGGTCTCTTGAGGTGCCAGCGAACTGACTAACATCCTGTCAAGTTTCTGGCTCTTATCTCGCCGGAGAACCCTTTCACTTTCTCATACTCCGGTGGAGGTGGAGCAAGATGGAGGATAAGGGCTCTGAAACTCTTCCCCTGATCAAATCATCATCATCATCTTCCGCAAGAGGGACAGCCTCCGTTGCTCAGACTTTTGGAAACATCATTGTCTCGATTGTGGGCACCGGCGTTTTGGGTCTTCCGTTTGCATTCCGGATCGCTGGTTGGCTGGCCGGGTCGATTGGCCTCCTCGTCGCTGGTGTCTTCACTTATTACTGCATGCTACTTCTGGTTAGCATTGCTTCTCTCTCCAACTCTCTGTGTGTGTGTTTTTGGTTGTTTTGTTCTTGAAAGATCTTGAAAGATTGTTTCTTTTGTTTAAGATGTTTAATTTCCCATAGAGAATATAACCAGTATTGAAATATGCAATTTGAAGTTGTTTTCTGTTTTTTACCCCCTTTTTTTTTTCCTGGGTTCATAGGTTCAATGTAGGGAGAAGTTAGCATCAGAGAGAGAATCAGCAGAAACAGCAACATATGGTGACTTGGGATACAAATCCATGGGGCCAGCAGGGGGTTATTTGACAGAATCTCTAATTTTCCTATCCCAATTTGGGGGTTCTGTAGCATACTTAGTGTTCATAGGCCAAAACCTTGAATCAGTATTCAAAGGCCATGGCTTTTCCATGGCATCTTTCATATTCTTGCTAGTACCAATTGAAATTCCCTTATCATGGATAGGACCCCTCTCTGCTTTTGCACCCTTCAGCATTTTGGCTGACATATGTAATGTATTGGCAATGGCTATGGTGTTGAAAGAAGATATTCAACAGGTAGTTAGAAGGGGTTTTTCATTTGATGGTAGGAAAGCTATCACTTCTAACATTGGAGGAATTCCATTTGCTGGAGGGATGGCGGTGTTCTGCTTTGAGGGGTTTGGAATGACACTGGCTTTGGAGGCATCAATGAAGAAGAAGGGGACATTTCCTAAGGTGCTTGCTCTGGCTTTTTCAGCAATAGCACTTTTGTATCTTATGTTTGGGATCTTTGGTTACTTAGCCTATGGCGATGAAACAAGAGATATTATAACGCTAAATCTTCCTCAGAATTGGACAGCTACTGCAGTCCAGGTAAGCTGCACAAGCTCAAGCATCTTAGATTAGTTCTTCTACTTGCTTATATAACACTTCAAATCTATGTCACTTTGAGTTGTTCATTTTTCTTAATGCATGATTCTTTTGCATCCACTTTGTATGTTCTCCCTTCATATAAAGAAAAATTTGCAAAACTCCGTAATCAATGCCTGACAATACATTGTTGCTTTTTATGTTTAGTAGAATTCATATCTCCAATGTTCATACTTAGTACATTTCATTGAGCAGAGTCCCATTGTTCTCAATTTGATTTGGAAGCAATAATAAAAAGTGACAACTTTATTAGTTTGAAGCAGTTAGTCTGCATCCATCATCTTGGGGTGTAATGCATGATAGAAGTCCATACTGGGTACCTTCAACTTTGCTTTGTCGTTGTCCCTTGAATCCATGAGTTTTTTGAGCAACATAGTGAAACTTGAGGTGTAGTAGTTGTTCTCACGTGCATATACATGTTGAAAGATTCTTCCATCTTCTTTAAAATAGGCATTTTAGAAGACCCATTGATTTCGATTCATGTGAAATGTTATCTTGAGTACAAAATCCAACTGTGCGTGCCATTGTTTTTGTTTAATGTTTGAGACCTGAAAATGGCATTGGTAAATGCAGAAGCTGCTGGGTTTAAGCTGACCCCGAAGGCCTTAAGTTACATTATGCTAAATTTATTCACTCTGGCTGCAGGTTGGATTGTGCTTGGGACTAGTTTTTACATTCCCAATGATGCTGCGTCCCATGAATGAAATTGTGGAGGGGAAATTGAAGAGATGTGCCTGGTTTTGGAAGCCCTACCACAACAATGATGATGGTTCCATAACCGCACTAGGGAAGCTAGGAATATACATCAGTCGGGCAGTTCTGATAATGGGGTTGGCAATAATAGCCTCATTCATTCCAGGATTTGGTGTGTTCAGCTCACTGGTGGGAAGTACTGTATGTGCACTAATCTCATTTGTTTTACCAGCCTCATTCCACCTGAAATTGTTAGGTCCATCCTTGAATTTCTGGCAGAAATCCTTGGATATCTTGATAGTGTTTTTCGGGTTGCTTTTTGGTGCTTATAGTACTTATAACACCATTGTTGGAGTATCAGCCTGAAGGAAACTTTGTTTTCAGAAGAAAGACAATCTTCATGGAATAGATGAAGTGAAGGTGGAAGGATGGATGTGTCCAGAAATCGTGGGACTGGACATTGAGGGCAGATATGCAGGCTTCCAAAGCTTTTCTCAAGGTCTTAGTACTTTAGGAGACTAAGGATAGATATCCTTAAAAGGTGTGGATTTGGTTCCTTGGTTGAGACATTTTTACCTTTTTGATGAGATTATTTTCTTCCTCTATTCTTTTCCATATCCTTTAATTTTGAAACTCTAGAAATAAATGAAGTCTATCATATTTAAATTATTAGTTCTGTGAAAATTATACACGAAATTTATATTTAATTTAAAATTCATTGATAATAAATAAAGTAACTCTTTTTATATTTATTTCATATTTTTTTTATTATATACTTGACATAAAATTTTTTTACCCAACAAATTCCATCTTCGTGTTCAAGTCTTACTCACAACAAATACTTAATTGAATTTTTTTTTTTTGAATAGTTTTGTAAAGGATTAGATTTGAATTATTGTCCGAGAGAGAGGGATGTACTTAAACGTGACTTGGTGCCACTACATTCAAAGCCCAAGGGCAAATACTTAATTGAATTGGCTAAGTTTGTACCTACAAATTGTATACCAAAATCTTGATATTAGGAATCAGAGTTTGGTTGCTACTTGCAACTAATTTCGGGCTTACCAAAAACCTTCAAGTCCGACTCAATGGTGAGGTGGGCTTTTTGAGTTCAGCCCCACTCAATATGAACCGGACTTCGGCCGAAATGAAGCGAGCTTGGTTTTGATTTTTATGCTACTAGAACTATTGTACTCTTTTCTCTTACTTTTATTCCAAATTAAAAATTTTGAGTTAACAAATATCTAACTCAACTCAAGTCAGCTAAATTCTTATTTTACTCACAATTCTAACTTCTTTTACTAATGTGCGATTTGGGAAAATGATTTCCAAGTTTTATGTATACAAGATTGTGAAAAAGAAGGATGTTTTGGTAATTAAAATATTAAGACTTTTTATGAAATTATTTAAATATTTTTAATTAATTGACACATAAAAATTTATTAAAAGTATATAAATAATTTTATAAGAAGTTCTAATATTTAAAATGTCAATATATCTTAATTTTTACTTTATATATATATATATTAGTAGAGTTTCATTTATATACAACACCTACACAAAATCTTAACTATTTATCAATTTACTTTGAACAATTCAGATTTATTTATATTTATTAAAGATAATTATTTTTTATTTAAAAAAATTGTAATCAATCTCAACTACTTAAAATGAAGAGATAAATGATCAAAATTTTATATATGTATAATATATAAGATTTATGTATATATAAATTCATTCTCATTATATATATATATGAGGTTTGATGTTATAGGAATTTATACTTCTGAGTTTTATTTTAAATTATAAATTAAAAATGAATAGATGTTAACTCAATCAATTAAATTTTTGTTAGTTTAATTATTTTGAATGAAAAGACTCATAACCATGAAATATTAAAAAGAATGAGAAAATTAACTAACCCACAATATTATTTTATAATAAAGTCTTGTAATCTCGTGTTGTAGGTGATACTAATTGTGATAAGTTTTTTCTTATTACCAACTGGATATGTGCAATTTTTTGGCCTTACAATCTTAACATTGATAATTATTAATTTGCCCCATCGTGTTGGCAAACCTATTTATTTAAACCTATAGATTACGTTCAATTGAGTGAAATTTGAAGCATTTTGCTTGAATAAAAGAAGAAAAGAAGCACTTTGCTTGAATAAAAGAAGAAAAGAAGCATTTTGCTTGAATAAAAGAAGAAAAGAAGCACTTTGCTTGAATAAAAGAAGAAAAGAAGCATTTTGCTTGAATAAAAGAAGAAAAGAAAAGAGAATAGAAGAACATGTTCCTGCACGTTCTGCATAAAACCCTTTTTACTAGTTTTTACAGAACCAGGTGCCTATCTGGGATAAGACTTGGGACCATCATCCCATGTGAACCAGATGTCCCATGCAGATCACAGGTAGAATTGTGAAGGTCTGATCATAAGATGAAACAATAATGAGGTAACTCAACTGGTTAAGAATTTGAAATTTTAAATTAAATATTTAAGTTTCAAACTTTAATTAAGTCAAGTGAAAAAAGATTTAAAAAAAATAAAATTTTTTTTTTATATAATTCATTATCAGATGTATTAAAAACAAAATGAGGTAAACAATTTGACTCAAACCAACAACCCCAGAAACAGAGACTTGCTCGTGGATGGCTGCATTTGGGCTGTGAAATTCATCAGGAGCACAGACGTGTGTTTCTGTGCAATTCCCTTGCAAAAGCATCTTCCATGATTGGAATGGTATGGATTGTTGGTATATATCTTTTTCTGGTGAAGGACAATTTTTTTTTGGGAATGCATCAAAGCTATTGCTCTTCCCACTCACTTAAGCATGGAGCATCCCACTCTTGGCAAGAAAGTGACCTGCTTTTAGCAAAAGTTCACAAAGTGAAAATGATGAATGGGGACATTGATTCTCCCCCTTTATTCCCTTTATTTCTCAAATCACAAACATTAATTATTAATTTTTAAGTTTAAGAACCGACAGATATTTAAATTCAATTTGTATATTAATTTAAGTCCATCTTTTGTTTTAGCCCATGTCATGCTATCTTACTAAAAAATTAGCTAGAAATTCTCTTCTAAAAAATTGAATCGTAATTAATAACATACGAAATAAACTCTCTTAATCAATTAATCTAGGTTAAATCTTCAATTTGATTCATGAATTATTGTACAGATCTTGATTTGGTCTTAGACCTAAAAAATCCCTAATTTTTTTTTTATCAGCTAAAAATCCCTAATTGGTTTCCTAAATCATTATATGAACCCTTAATTTGCTCATCATTGTTTATCAATTTGCCTTAAGTTAGTTCTTTCATACAAAAAATAACTAACATATTCGTTACTTAATGACAAAAAATAGTTACATAACAGTTACATGTCATGTTAATAACGAAACACATCAATTGTTTTTTATACGAATGGATCAACTTGGGGTAAATTGATAAACAATAGGAACCAACATATTCGTTACTTAATGACGAAAAATAGTTACATAACAGCTACATGTCATGTTAATAACGAGACA